GGGGGGTTTTAAGTCATGCGAAAGTTCTTGCTGCTGGTTTGCTTATACATTTCTCAATAGCTCATGTAAACGTGATGGCTTATGAATCCATGAATGAAACCATGTCCTTGGATTTTTTTCTAGCATTTCCTTTTCTCATGTCTAACAAAAAATCACCACCTTTGGCACAGAAAAAATAAGGAAAGCAACAGATGTGCATAGAAATATTTATGCATAAACGTCACAATCTCAACATAAACTCCAAAAGCTCATGGAACAGACAAAAACCAGTTTCTAGTAGCTACGCAAGAAACTCTTCTCAAACACTAAAAACCACACACCTACTTGAGTATCAATCCATCATGCGAAAGAAAACACTCTCAAGACACCAGGTTTTCATTGAGTGACAATGAGGCAAGTTGATCAGCTGCATTGCCAGCTTGCTGCTGCTGAGCAACATTCCTCAGAACTTCCATAGCCTCAGCTACCTTTGCTTTCAGAGCTTCAGGTGACTCCAGCAAATGCAGAACCTCAGTCTGATCCATCTCCAGAAGCATGCCTGTAACCTTGGCTGCATTCTCAGGTTCCAGCTGTTCCACGAGTGGGTAAAGACTCTCACCCAGCATCTACAAATTTCCACCAAACAGACAAAACTCATTAATAGCATAATAACCAGGACAAAATTACTTGCCAAAATAACATCTAATAACCATATTTATTTTGTATCGTAATCAAAACAATGAACACAATCCGGTAAGCACTACAAAGTCCAAAATGTCTAGCATAGACTAATAAATGGACAAAGAAACACAAAAGCATACCGTTCTTTGCTGCTCCGGTGTAGCATTTGCAAGAGCAGTAGCCAAAGCCCCTATTGGAATTGGTTGAGACAGTGCTGCATCACGCATTGGCATGCCACCCATGTCATATGGAACAGAAAACATGCCTCCAGCAACACCAGGCATGGGAACATCAGGTAAACCACGACCAGATGGGTAACGGTAGACACGCCCCCTTGGAAGCATCTGTCATTAAAAATCCATCAGAAATTATGACAATATACCAAAATAAAAACTACATTAGAGACAACATGCATCTAACCTGCTGTTGCATTATAGGAACTGGTTGCTGGTTTTGCTGAACAGAGCCTCCACGTCTGCCACCAGGGCGCTGCCCTTGCTGCCCCTGCTGAACCATTGGCACAAAGAAATTTGGCATGGGAGCCCCACCAGGCCTCATACCAGGAACAAGCTGCTGCTGATACCCAAATCCAGGCTACAAAGGAAACAAAATAATATCATAATAAAAAATTCAAAGGTAATGAGGCAACATTACTGAATTCGTAATCTGCATCCAAATCATGCAAGTACATAATCCAAACTAATATACAGCTGAAAACAACAAAAATGTACGAAATACCCAAAAATGTTAATAGTTTAACTAAGACTGTTGAATGTCTTCCCCATAAATAAAAATGACCGTTAAATGGGAAAAATATGAAATTTCTGGTCACCTGGGAAGGAATGATAGCAGGTGGACCTTGACCATAGAATATTTGTTGTCCAAGACCTGGACCACCAGGAGGGTACATTGGCATACGAGGAGCAACTGAAGGTGCCATTGCAACTGGCCGCATTTGAGAAAACTGGGCCTGTGCAAGCAGTAAATGCAATAACACGTGACAATACTAACATGTCAATATCGAAACAAAAGAGAACACGACCAGAGTAAGGATAAGTATTGCTTAGATGCTTTTTGTCTACAATCCACATTGACGATCTTGTAGGAAAGTAACTCATTGCATAACGAGGAGCTATATATTAATTGATGTTGGGCCAAACTTAAAGTTTGTTTTGTTCGAGGATCAGCAAAAGACATACCTGCAACCTTGCTCTTCTATCTTCTTTTCGTTGTGCAAGTGCAACATAGAGAGGTTTGCTTACAATCATTTTGCCGTTCATTTCCAAGAGCTATCAAACAGGAAAAAAAACATATATCTTTACTTATTTAACAATAAAGAAATTTGTCTGACCAAAAAAAAATAACAATAAAGAAATTTATTAAGAGTGTTTCTATCGCCATCCCACACATTACTCATAACACCCGCAATTCTAAAAATATCCATAACTCCTAACCCCAACTTTCTTTTTCTGGGCATAGATGAGGGCGGCCATGAATGTCACTTCCACAGTTGGTCATGGCAGCAAAAAACAACAAAATTGTTTTACTAAATATTTTCCCTTTTTCTGAATAGGACAAGCACTCCATTAATCCATATAAAAAATAAACTTACAGCTCTATTTGCCTCTTCAGGAGTTGAGAATGCAACAAAACCTGATCCCCTACTTATTCCACTAGGGTCTCGCATGACCTGCTCACATGTGAATAAAAAGAGTTTTGTTAGGCCATACCAATGCAAAATGAATGATGATTATGACACAGCTGCTTTGCAATCTAAAACAAGGACTACACACCTTGCATGAGGTAATAGTCCCAAATGGAGCGAACAGTTCCTTAAGTTTCTCATCACCTATGGTATCGTCTAAATTTTTAACATACAAGTTTGCCCCTTGATACTTGTCTGCTGCCTCTTTCATGCTCTGTTCAAATCGTTGTTTCAATTCATTTTCCCTTTCAGATTTCTTCTGGGCCTTCCCAACATACCACTCCTTATCATCAAATTTCTTTCCATTTAGATCCTCAACAGCTCTAGCAGCATCATCAGTGTTTTCAAAATTGACAAACCCAAAGCACTTTGATTTTCCATCTGCATCCCGCATCACCACTACGCTAGTGATTTTTCCAAATTTAGCAAAAATTTTGTCCAAGTCTTCCTCAGTAGTTGATTCTGATAGATTCTTTACAAAAACATTGTTGAATCTTGACTTGTCAGAAACACCGTCCCTTTCCTGCTTGCGGAGGAAAGGCCCTACATAAACTTGCTTATCATTTAAAAGCATACCATTCAACTTCTCTATAGCTTTTTGGGCAGCTTCATCATTGTCGAATTGTACAAAGCCATAGCCTTTTGACTGGCCAGAGGGGTCTGTAGCCACCTTGCAAGAAAGGATGTTTCCAAATGCAGAAAAGGTATCATGCAAGGCTTTGTGATCAATAGCTTTGTCCAAATTCTGACAAAAGTAATACAAGTGAAAGTGTCAGCAAGGAGATAGCTGTGACATATAAACATATAACAGTGCTTCCTAAAACATTAAAAACATGAATACCTTAATAAATATATTTCCAGCCCCACTTTTGCGGATACTAGGATCACGATGAGAGTACATAATCCTAATGGGCCTTCCATTCACGGGACTGAAGTTCAACACATCCAATGCCCTAGCAGCTGCCACCAATTCCAACGAAAAATGTAAGTAAAAATCAAAAGGAAAAGGAGCATTGACAAATCTCACACGATGCAAAAGAAACGAAGGGAAAGAATATCAGACATCTCTAATCTCTGTTTCAATAACAAAACACAATATTCAACTTAATTGTTTCTCTGCATGACACTGTTTACAGGAACCAACCTATGTTATCCTCCTCAATATTGCAAATTTAATATCTCAGAAAGGATGGGTAAAGGATTAAATGGGATTCTAACCCAAGGTCACAATGTTTCTTCCAAATATGTTTCCACATAACACCTATCAAATTAGTGCTTAGAGTAGTAAGAAAACGGAAAACATGTATACACTCTTAAAATTATAAACCTAAGCAACCTTATTCCTGGTTAATAGTGAGCTTGGTTGGTGAAGGAAAGGTCCTTTGCTGGAAGGAACCATAATACGACAGTAGTCTAATTCAATTTCAGGGCATATTATGCTCTTTCTTGTATTAGCCAAAATGGGAGCCTTTACTGAACACCCCAACAGAAGGCCTAAGGCGTGACAAGAAGACAAGAAAAATCGTACAAAAGTCCAACATAATAGCCAGAATCTCAGCATCACAAACCCCACCAACAGGCACGGACTCATTATTGTTAAAATGCATCACCAGGAAGGAAAACTTGAAAGAGAAAATTGAGCACATACAAAGTAAAGCACCATGTTCCATATCTGAGGAAAATATATCTTGTAATTACAAAACAATCAATGCTAAATCCAAATGCACCTATAATTTTTAGCCTAACCCCTTAATTTACTCGTACAGTAATTCTACTCAATGCCTGCCCCTCATAATATATTGACAACCACAAATTTCCTATTATTCTCCTAAGAGTCTTTTTGACGAAATTTGAAGCATATGCTTGCAGGAAGTCACAACTACATCAATAAAATACACATGTTCGAATTCACTTCCCCTACCTCACAGAAATCCCTGTTCGCAAAAACTACATCTTATACAATCAACACTACCACGTACCTATCACTTAATTGCCTTTTCTTTCTACAATAAATTGCACAAACACTGTTAAATACAAATGGATCCAGTCACCACACCTAAAAGATGTAACTTGCACACAAAAATTAAAACGTTGGGCTAAGTTTACTTAGCCTCCTTAGCCACCTATATGGCATGCATAACCATCTTATTCAGCTTACAATAGAAAGAATACATCCATGATCTAAATCTTATATGAAACAGTAAGCAACCCAAAAAAACAAAGCATACAAATGAGCTTCAAAATCCCTAATAAAGTGAATCAAAACCACTTACCATCTTGTGGGTTGCTATAATTGACATAGCCATAGCCAAGCGACCTCCGGGTGGACAAGTCCCTGCAAACCCTAACCGAAACCACCTGACCCAGCTGGTTAAACAGGTCGTAGAGCTGCGAATCCGTAACGTTCTGGTCAAGATCCCCAACATAAAGCGACGTCGTCACGAACTGGTTGGCCGCACCACCGTTCGCCGCAGCCGCCGCCGCCGCTGCTGCGTTCGCATTCTGAGCCTGAACCTGAACTTGCGCCATCTTCAACAGAAAAGCCTAATTTTTTTTTCTTTTCAAAATTTTTGAATTTTTTCTTTCGTTTTCCGATAATCTTCCCTCTCCTCTTTGTTATTTCAGCACCAGAAAATCCGAGGAAGATAAAATAAGCCAACAAAGACACTAACTACTAAACGCTCACCAACTGCTCGATAAAAAACCGCTGAGGAAAAGGAAAAACTCAATCTTTTTTTTGTTGCTTTTTTGGTTTATTTTATAGGGAGGAGAGGGAAGGGAGTGGAGGGATAAATAGTCGGAGATCCGACGGAGGGTGGCAGAGGCCGCCGGTGGGTGGCGGCGCGTGAGATAATTCTGTGGGTGATAAGAGAGAAATGTAGAGAGAGAAAGGGAAGGAAAGAAAATAGGGAAGATGGTTTTTTTCCTGCTGCGGGCAGCTGGAAGAACTGCAGTAAAAGGGTGGGACTTGCAGCTGTGAGTGTTGATATAGTTGGTGGGCTTGGGTGAGCCCTAGGATGATCTGAAGGAGGCGATCTGGACCGTTGATTTGGGATGTAGTGGGCCCATGATGACGAGGTCGTATGTGGAAGATCAACGGCTGAGATGTGTCGAATGTGAGTTGTGAGGTACAACTTCTGGTAACGGTAGATTTTCTAGATAGAGTCATGCTAAGGTAGGTCTTGTCTTGTGGGGTTTGGTGTGGGGGCCGTCGGGCTGTTGGGCAACTGCCACGCGTCATGTCAGCGCGTGATATGCTGATTTACTGGTGGAGTCCACACACAACACATCGGTAAAAACTGAAATTTTTACTTTGCATTGGTGGCTTACAAAATTGTTCTTTATGACTGTCACATATTTAGTCCATGTGTGGTCACTAACTATAATTGGATTAGATTATGATGTACGATTGAATTAGAAGGCATTATTGGATTGACTGAATTACAATGAATTGAAAATGATAAGTATTTTTCATTAGCACTAGAGTCCTGATTTCGTGTCCCGGTTCTTAGGTCTAAGGTTAAAGATTGAGAGATTGGAGTGGTAGGATTATGTATCTCACTTTTCTTAAAGGATAAGTTATTCTACAAAAATGTACATAATTGAAGTACGATAAGATTATTTTTTATCTTATTCGCATTCATTTTTAAACACCAAACATGACATTGGATTAAGTTAATCAAATCTTACTACATATTCTACCCACCAAACCAGTTAATGTACATATACACGTATACTTAACATATATACGCAAGAATATTTTGTGAATGAGAAAACCCAGAATGTTCCATGAGTGAAGGAGAAGATCCAAAGAATGTTTCCTGGAAAATACCGACAGATTGTACAAAAGCATACAACAATATATTCAATTTTCTTCAATTTATTTAAGGAGTAAGGACTTTTCTTGTTCTCACAATAACTGGAAGAATGAATTTATTTATTTATATATTTTTTTTTCTAAGGTCGGTTGATTTTGAAATAGTTGGTAGGAGGATAGAACAATGGAATGTCTATTTATTGGTCTAAAAATGGGAAAGGATATGTATCTGGTCAAAGAGTGACCAATAATGGAATTGATTATTTTGGCTAATTTTTTTATGCATCATGACTTCACTTCAACCTTAAACTAACTCTCATGACGTAAATTCGGTGTATGGAAGTTTTTCTCATTCAATTTACAAGTTTGTAAATAAATAAATAAAAAGAGTTAAAAGTAAAATCAATTCGATACACACATCAAATACACAAGTGGTGGAGCAGTAGACAATGAACCATACATAAAATGGGCAATAAAAAAGAGCTTTTTAGGTATCCCACCAGAACTGTGTCAAATTCATGCCTTGAGAATTAGGAGGTTAAAAATTGACACTAAGTTGGTTAGTTAGAGTCAACGACGGAATTATATGAATTTCTTAAGAAGTGGGGTATATTTTTCTTTTTCTTTTTCTTTTTATAATATGTGGATAGTTAACTGACTTTGTATAAGGAGTTGTAGTGATGGAGTGGACCAATTTTTGCTAAGATGAGATGAGATAATTTTCACCAATTGAAGTGAATTTCCTAAAGATTAATACCAAATTTCTATGTTTGTAAACATTTACATTGAACTAGAGCCCACCCTAATAATAAAAGCGTTGTTTCGCCCTTAGTTCGAGCATCACACTGTTTTTAGCGCCGGGAAGAAGGGTTAGAAGTTTTTAAGTAGTGCTGGCCGAAGCAATTTCAACATAGGAAAAGGAAATTAAAACAAGATCGGATGAGAAAGTAGAGAAGTGGAAAAGTGGAATGTGGTTTGTCAAGAGGTTTGAACATGGAGAGTGACACATGGGTTGAAATGCGAAATGTATGCAGACATTTTCAATGGTGTGTATGTGGAAGTGACGCAGAAACATCTAGCTTGTGAAACATATGAAAAAAAAATGTGTTTAATTGCGAAATCTAAGCTATACCCATCAGTTGACAACGTATGGATTGCTGCATGAACCGTATTGGCAGGAAAAATCAACATCATCTAACATTGCATGTCCACGGACCACGGTTCTAATATTATTATGATATTTGGAAAGAAACACACAAGAATGGTCAAGAACAACCGAACTTTATTATTTTGATTTCTCTTATGTTAATATAACACGTAATTATATTCCAGTATGAATAATAAGTTCTCGTGTTCTAGCATCACACTACAATTAGGACGGATTGAGTTTGGATTTACCTTGCAACATGCCAACTTGTCCAACTCTCCAACACTCCGAGCCGCAACTCTAGAGAAGGAAGTTTGAAAACGGCGCGGCGCGTGATAAGTGGAAAGCAGTCATAAGCGACCAAGCGGGCGTGGTCCTACTCTCTCTCCATTTCTCCAACATTTCCTCTTGACACGGAAACCCAAAAAGCAAAAAAAGAAAAAGAAATATAATAAACAACTACATGCGCTCTCTCTCTTAAAAAGAAATCTGAAAATCCCAGCAGCAGCTGCAGCGGAGCCTCCTCTCTATCTCTCTCTCCAGAATTAAAAACAGAACAAAATCATAATTATTTATTTAAAAAGAGTAAATAAATTTTAAAAAATTAGCTTCTTTGCTTTGGTGTCTGCTTAGGTGAGCTGAGCTACATCAAATCAAAAGCTGCGCTGCTCTGCCATGATGGGCTCAATCTCAATCCCTATCCCCATAACTTTCCCCAATTACTCTCCTCTTTCTTCTTCTGCAACTCCCAGCTCTTCCCTTCTTCCGCTTCGTCGATCCCCTCTCCTCGCTCTCTCCAAACGACGCCGTTGCCTCCAGTTCCGGCCTCTGGTTCTCGCCTCCTCAGCCGCCGGCGTCGCCGCCAATTCCCTCCCCAGAAATGGGACCTACACCGTCGGCGATTTCATGACCACCAAGGAGTGTTTGCACGTCGTCAAGCCCACCACGACCGTCGACCAAGGTATAGTATGCCGCAAGCTCAAACCTTCGAGCTCAAGCTCGAGTCTTTGCTTTCTGATTGATGATTGCTTCTTTTTTCTCTGTTTACAGCATTGGATGCTCTTGTGGAGAAGAGAATTACCGGTTTTCCTGTGATTGATGATGACTGGAAACTCGTAAGTAAATCTTATCTTTCTTTCTTTTTTTCTTTCCTTTTTTGCGTTTTCATATATAAATCGTGTAATTGAAGTCTCTATCTATGCATATAAATGATATTAACGTAGAGGTTTATAAGGAAAGAGTAAGAGTTTTTGGTGCAACATTCTATCTCCTTCTGTTAACAAAGCTTATCTTGTGTCTTGATGCTTGATTGTGTTGGTATATTTTCTTAATTGCTTTAGCTTTTTGTGTTTATGGGTTTGTGTTGCTCCCATACACCTTGATTTGAGGGTTTGTTTACCACTGCTGCAGGTTGGTGTTGTTTCAGATTATGACTTGTTAGCGTTAGACTCCATATCAGGAAACATAAAAGGTATGTTGTATTCCATGATCCGAAGATTTAAACTTAAAAAAAAAAAAATAAATAAAATTTGTGCATTCTGGATTTCCAGCTATAATTGTGCTTTTGCCTTTTGGGGCATGTGGTAAACTCCTAAAAAATGAGCCTCCATACATATATTCACATGAAAGAAATTAAAATTGGTAAGTGGCGACAAATATAAAAGATACAAGTACTCGCACAAAATTTGCGTATGTGTAATTACTATAATTTACTACTAAAAGTTTCTTAATTAGAGTAAGGTCATGACTCATGCGTAATTTTTACCAAACCATAGAAAGATACATATGGTCTTGTTGCTCCAGAGCTTGGCAAAATCCACAAGAGAAAACAAAAACCAAATAAATTCAAAGCTATAATACCATAAAGTGATGAGCCATTTGCAGCAAAGTATCACTTAAAACATTGAATTTCTCACATTTTCAGCTGCAAAATTACTAATTAATGCAAGTTCTTGGGCCTAAGGTTAACATAGGGGTTAAGCGTGCCCTTTTGGAAGCTAAAAGATTGGGGACCTGAGGCGAATGCCTTACCAGGCTGTCCTCAAGGCCTGCCTTAGGCGGTGCTTTGCTGGCTATAATTTTGTTCTTACTGTTTGTTTTTCTGTTTTTTAGGGTGAAATGAATGGAAATTTATTATGATTTTTTTTTTTGATGCTACCAGGTGGTCAAAGTGACACAAACTTGTTTCCAGATGTTGATAGTTCTTGGAAAGTATGTAAAGTTTTCTTTGCCACACATTTTTTTATTTGTATTTACAAGTAATCTCTATTGCAATGCCTGTTTTGTTACTACACTATGATGGATTTTATCTTTTTTGTTTACGTTGGATCATAAGATTGATTTGTTACTCCTGATAATTTTCATATAATATTATAACATGCCCATTGTGCATATGTACACACCACATGTGGATCATGTAGCCACACTAGGCACATTTACTGTCTGTCTTTGCAAGACAGTTGGAGTTGGGAATTCTTCGGAGATATGGCTTCTATAGTTAAAAAGAGGGCTACTCTGTGGAACCCTGCTGTGGTGGCCTCTTTGTGTGTGGTGTGGTGGGAAAGAAATAGGAGAATTTTGATGATTGAGAAGAAGAGGTGTCTTCATTGGGGGAGGGAATTAGATATCTTAGTACTATTTGGATTCACTGTCTAGGAAATTTCCTTTTAGTAAATTTTTTCTGAATTGGTCTGATTTTGTGGGTTAAGGGTTCCGTTAGTTTTTGGTCTTTTTGTTTTGTGGGGCTTTGTTGGTTTCAGTTTGGTTGTTCCTGATGGACCTATTTTGTAGTCTGTTTTCTTGTATTAATAATATTCCCATTTATTATTCAGAAAAAAAAAAAGTTAAAAATTCTATCATATGGAAGCTTGCTAGTATTATGGTTGGTTACATTTGAGCATACCTAACACAGTGATAGTCTTCGCATGACAAGTGATAATTGATAGAGCTCTAGAATTTATGTGATGTTCTTGTTAATTCTTTTTCACTTGTACTATCCTCTTGTATGACTGAGTGAGTAGTGTGAGTCTATATATCAGCAAGAATAATGTCCACTAAAACTAAAGTTGGAGACATGTTGTCGCCTAGAATTGAAGCTGCCCTGTTACAAATTATTTAAAATAATGCTTAGATCAGATGTGTGGTTAGTTGCTTCGTTGATTGCTTTCTAAATCTGGATGAGTATGGCAGACATTCAACAAGATACAGAAACTGCTTAGCAAGAACAACGGCAAAGTTGTTGGTGACGTGATGACACCTGCTCCGCTTGTTGTTCGTGAAACCACCAACCTAGAAGATGCTGCTAGGTAATGGATTTAACTAATTTCCCTAATATCTGTTTTGTTGCTTAGGGAAAATCTCTTGTAGTATAAATGTTTCATTTGTGTTATATGGTTTTATTTGAGAATGAAAGTATGGGTGGCAGGCTGTTACGAGTTTTCTTATGACTATTGTGGAGCTTTAGTTGGAATGGAACTTAAATTTCTAATAGAATTTCTCTGACTTGTGGAAGTGATGATTGTGTCTTTTCATTCTAAGATGTGGTTGCAAGTTAGCTATGCACAGTAAGACAAGAATAATCTGAAATGTACAGTTCGATGCAGTTCAAAGTACAGTCAGCTAAAACCATCATTTGTATTTTGTTAGGTTGTTGCTTGAAACAAAATATCGCCGACTGCCAGTTGTAGACAGTGAGGGCAAACTGGTAATGATTCTTTTCTTTTCCTTTTTTCTTCTTTAAAAAAAAAGTTTCTTATTTGTTGGATGCTATATTGTTGCAAGTTTTTTCTGATTGGTTTCTTCTTCCATTGCAAAAGGTTGGGATTATTACGAGGGGAAACGTTGTTAAAGCTGCCCTACAGATAAAACGTGCTGGTGAAAAATGAGTTTAGTTCAGGGGAACATCGGCGGAGCTCATAGGCATGCATAATGAGCTAAGTCTCATTGATATCATAATTATTTCTGCAAGGCGTAGGCCACACAGCTTGTCATTGCAGGTATTAAGAGGCCACTTAAACTTCATCATTGCTGTCCTTAATAGTATAGATTGCCTTATAATAGGGTTGCACTTGTATTTAGGCTTGTAAAATTATCAACATTTTCTAGGATCAGATCTGTGACTTGCAGTTGTCCTGAGCCAAATTTTTGTATTATAAAGACCATTATAACCTCAAAACCAATGATTATTTCGTTTATAGTTTATGAGGAGCTTTGCCCCATATCTCTCTATGCTTCCACCAACCAGCCATATAAATGGGTGGTTGAAACGAAATTGAATAATTTCATTTGGGGTTTTTTTTTAGGGAGGTTGGGGCTGGGCTAGGCGGTGGACCCTTTTGGGATTACTTATCAGAATGATTTACAGACTAGGATTTTGTTTTGGCATCACCAAATTCTAGTTGTGAAGAGTGATTTTCAAAGCTTAGCTTGGTCCAATATAGTTCTTAAAGTTCGAGGAAAATTATGGATAGATTGTTTGGACAAACACAAACCTCATAATTTTCAAGAATGGCGTGTACAAATTTTCTAAAATAACGGGATTTATAAATTCTATGAACACTAACATATGGATTGTGGGAGGAACAAATCACAAGTTTAAGTTCCACCTAAAATGTGTTATTTCTTAAATTTGAAGAAAGAGTTTTGAAAAAATGTAACCGTGGTCACCACTGCTCTTACCATCATTACCCCCATCGAGTTGCCACATTACCCCCGGCACCAATCACTGGAGGACCCATAAATTTTTTAGTGGATGTGTAATTTTGGCAAGGCCTTATTAATAAAAAAATATAAAAAAAACAAGTGCCCTGGCAATGCAGCGAAGCACACAGTAACACAGCAGACTAACTTCGTTTAGGCTTTTTGTCGAACATCTAGAGCGTACCTCTCAGGTTGAGCAGAGCTGCAATATGCAATACTTATAATGGTTTTTCTGGCAAAGAGAGGTGTAGATGCACCTCATTGCACCACGAGCACCAACCCTGCCATTGCCACAACAACTAGCTACCGACTTCAGTCTTTCGTCTTTAAAGCTAATTGTTTGAACTTTTTATTTAGCTTTTCCAGTGTGTTTTAGCTTGACCAACCTTTAAGACCGGAAAAAAAGAAAATAGAAAAGCTTTTCGGGTCCATCTGAGGTTTATTGGCATTGAGTGGAGTCTCATCACCCGTGCCGTGGCCCCTTTTAAGAAGTGGTATATGCACTTTGAGAATAAACAATTTCTACATTTGAAAATAAGATAATTGCGCTTCTTGTTTTGGTAAAGAAGTGGAATTTGCACCTGAGAATTAACAATTTGACTCAACACTCGCATTTCTTCACTAGTTGATTATATTATATGCAACTACACTGGTTTTGAACATTTGATAAATATTTGAATTTGTGCACCTCTTAATAATGTAATGATTGGAATTAAAAGGACCCAAAAAAAAAAAAATTGGATTCACTTTTCAAATAACTTAATTTCAACCAAAAGAACTTCCTTTTCATGGTTGAATTAAGTATCACCAATTCATACAATGAATTTATGAAAGTGATGATACAACGTTTAAAGTATCACCAATTCATTGATGAAAGTAACGAGTTGGTGATACAATGAATTATGTATCACCAAATTATAAGATCCAATTATTTTATTTTATTTTGTTTGAATTTATGAAAGTGATGATGATATGATGAATGAAGTATGACCAATTCATTGGTGAAAAATAACGAGTTGGTGATATAATGAATTATGTATCACCGACGTATGAGATCTATGAGATCTATCGTGTCTGGCGTCGTACACAGAAGTTATGCTTACGATTAAGAATTAACCAAGCAGATGAAACTAACGTAGGTTAATTAGGACTCAAAACCAACCAATGAACAAACAGACCCTAGAAAACCTTCTTCTACCTAAATACAAAGAATGATATCATTTATTAAAAACGTTTTTGTTTTGGGGATGCATCTATACTTCGGGTGCATTTTTGCTCACTACTTTAATCATAGGTGTACTCTCACCACCATCCTCAATGCTTGACATGTGTCCATAGACATAAACATAGTTAACTTTTGCTTTGTATTTATGGAATCATGATTATATCTATGGACACGTGTCAAGCATTGAGGATGGTAATGAGGGTACACCTCTTATTAAAGTGGTGAGCAAAAATGTTCCCACTATACTTCTACTTCAGGAAGCAACCCCCTGACATAAAAAATCAGCAGATCTTTTGTGTATCTTGTACATATCAGCCCTCCCTAAGATAGATTTTCTCTCCATATCATCATATCTTACCAGATGAGCTTGAGCTTGACCACAGAAATCAGACTGACAGACTGTAAAGCTCTTTTCCTGGTTGAGAGCAAAGCCACCTTTTTAAAAAATAATAATAAAAAATTCCAAGCAGCTCTTCGAAACCATGGCCTCCAGAACTCTCGAACATAAGATTTTATCCCAGAGAATACTGTCAAATTATTTGACATGATCCCTCCAGATTCCATATATTTTTTGACAAGACACAGGCCTCCATAAACCATAGCCTTTACAGCTGGTAAAGCTTTTAAAGGAGCGTTTAGAATATCCCATGTTTAAGGCACCTCATAAATAAGCTTCCATCAACGTTGGACCTTCAGCGCAAAGAGAACCTCTCATTCTTCCAAATATATCTGCACTGCACTGCTCCAAAAACATATAGCTCTCACTTTTTTCAAGGGATTCAAATGATTGAAATCTTTACAATCAAGATCGAAGACCCCTTTAAGCATCTTCCTGTTTCGAGCGTCTTCTAGTTGCTTTGATATTAGCTGGCAGCCAATACCATTTCCAACCATCTATAAATTGATATGATTTGACATCTACGTAATCAAAACTTAACTCCTAAACTAGCATTTTGGCGATCAGTAGAGAAATGCTAATGACAATCGCGCACTCATTGCGTGAATAATTTATATCATATGCATATATATAATTATTTGTTAGTGTAAAACGTGATCTAACTTGCAGTCTATTGGTTCATGGATGGAACCAAAACCCTAAATCCATGACTTCTATATATGTTCTGTGCGGACTCTTGATAGTTAACTCATCCATTTTTATGGATTAGCCTAAATTCAGAGGCTTACAAATTGTAATATCCCATTAGTTTGTCCAGTTAAAACACTAATTAGTAAGTGTTTAAGCAATATTATTATATGATGGTGCCGGATTCAACAATATCAAGATAACCATGACGATCCTTCCCTTTTCCATATTGGAATAGGTTCAAATTTGAATGACCTCTTCTTTATCTATATAAAAGAAAACTCAGACAACAACCCCCATCCAATAACATCCCTCAAATTACTTCTTCTTTTTTTATTATTTTTTTAAATGAGAGTCCAACATTATCAATGATCATATCAATAATTTTGCCCAATCCTGCAATCACTAGCTAGTCTTGTCACCATTATCGCCCAATCCTGCAATCATATTGTGGGAGATGTAGAAACCGTACAATGAATGTCCAATTCAAGCCAGCAAGATAAAGATTGATGTTTTACTTTTGCTGATGGCACTATGCATGCAGAATTTGAGGGCCTGTTTGGTATCTTAGTTGGATCTAATTTTATAAGCTCAAAAACAAATTTTAAGTCCAAAACCCAAAAAACCCTCGAGGTATTGTCGGGCGCAAAGCGGGGACCTCTCCCAACAAAGTCTGCTCTATTCGCAAGAGCCTGGGATCGAACCCAGGACCTCTTGTTTAAAGGATCCAAGCCCCTTCCACTTGGACCAACTCCTGTTGGTAAAAACACCCCATTATTGAAAACAAAAAAAAGTGAGATTTTACATTTCTCTCTATCTCTCTTTCTCTCTCTCCTCCCTCTCCCGTCTCTTTCTCTCTCCTCCCTCTCTCTCTCTCTCTCTCTCCTTTTCTATTGTTAATTTCAATTTGGGAATCTATGGTTTTTGATTTTCTGATTTTAATTTCAATTTCAATTTTTTTTAGTTCTTAAAAATAGCTAACAAGTTCTTAGATCTTAAAATCACTATTTCAAAAATCATATTTAAAAAAACAATCATAGTTTTTGAGTAGGATACCAAATAAGGCCTAAGAGGTCCTTAGACATTTTTTTTAATGTGTCTTAAATATAGCCATATTGATGATAATTTTGAAATATACAACCCTTCAAATATCAATTCTTGCATTTTCTTTTCTAATAGAAAATATATTTATTCCAATCTCCAAAATATAAACAAAGTCCTCTTGGTAAAATGGGCTATAGACCTTATCAAAAAGAAAAAGGAAAAAGGGGGCTATAGTTTATTATTATTTTTTTTTTCTCTTAAGGGAACTCCATAGTTTTTCTGAATAAATAATTTCTGTTAAAAAATTATTTCTTGATCGCATGGTCAAATGCTTCAAAAGTAATCAAAGTAACATTTCTTATAAAATGTCAACATTTAAAACATGGTAGATATAATAGCATTTTCGGTGTTTCATTGAATCAACGTTTTGTTCAATAATTTTATACTCCCTACAATTTCACGTGTATGTGAAGTCAAAAAGATTAAACTAAGTACAATAAGTGAGGACAGGAAGAGGAGGAGGGGTTTTGAATGCAAGGGCAAGGAGCTAGGTGCTGTTTTAGCCCCTCAAAATGGTATTGTTCATAAAATCTAACTTCTCAATTTTTTTTGTGGTTCTAACGGTGGTGAGGGGTTAGGGGCTAAAACTCAAAACCTTTTATTTTAGTTTATTATTATTATTTTATTTGTGATAAAAATCAAATCAACACAAAAATTTATTTTTGAGCTGTACTTTGGAATAACAATTTTGAGCAAAATGAAAAAAAACAAACAAAGAGAAATGTTTGGAGTAATTGAGAGATTTTTTAGGTGAGAATGTGATGAATAAAAGGGGGGGAAAAAAAAGTCAGCTAGTCTGGAATTGGAAAAAAACAAAACAAAAAAGGCCAACAACTATAGCCGTTAGGCCATTGCCATTAAGGGCGCCACGTGGCAGGTCCTCAATTGTCATTGCAATTGAAAAGTCAGCAAAAGCTGCGTCCTTTTTTTTTTTAAATTTGAAAAAATGACTGTGGGGCTATTTTTGCTCGGGCAAAACGAGCTCCTTATCTTGCCTCTGGCCAGATCACTCCTATTAGACATGTTCCGAGAGACGTAGAGAGCCATTAAAAGTACTTCTATCCATTTTTCATGGCAAAGGGCAAGGACAAGG